AGAGAGAGAGAGAGAGAGAGAGAGAGAGAGAGAGAGAGAGGTATACTGTGTGTTGTGGTAATAATGCTATGCGGAGAGACCTGACGGAAACACCGTGGTACGACGTAAAGAAACCCCCTACAAGAGACTGTTCAATTGAAAGTCAAATCCGGCATCTTTTTGCCAGATCACGACAAACTGGCGTGATTTAAAGGTGCACTCAGCATATTATGACAATTAATAAAGTTTTACGCGTAAATAATGAGGTTGGTCTTATGCACAATACATTTTATAAGCAACCTCAAGTTTATTTCACGTGGTCGAAAATGTATGCATGAAATAAATTGGACGTGTCTGTTGTGACAAACAACTAAATATGCAGGCTTTTTCATAAGCCAACCTTGTTCTTTAGAAGAAGAAAAAGATCTAATTTGAAACTGAGTTTCATGTAGATTTGATGGACAACGTAAATCAATCTGATCGACAGCATGAAATGAAAAACATCCAGTTAGACAAATTTGGCCATATATAAATACATAAATTCAGAGTTGTGTTTCATTAATAAGCTTTTCAAAGGGAGGACGATTAGTTCAATATTGTACCAGATTCTGGAGGCCTATAGCAATAGCTTTAGACAGTTTGTGCACTAAGCCAGTATGTATGAAACAGTGACCTCTAATTTCTTCTGTTGTGTGACCTTATGCTTCTGTTCCTCATTTATGACTGAGCCATAGAGGAGGATACACTCAGCATGAATGATTGAAAGCCAAGGAGCACTTCACTTAATGAGCTACTCTGCAGTATGGAGCATTATAACTATGTGTCCTCAGTTGTGACTATCAGTGGAATTTCAGCCTGTTAAATCTTTTTAAGAAGAAAAAAAAACAGTTTGATTTGAGATTGTTTACACTGAGACAATCAGAGATCTGTATGTCACTTTGACGCAGCACCTGGATGCGAATCAGCATGTACCACAGCTAAATCTCCTTGAAAACTTGTAACATTATGTCAGTGTTGACATTAGATAATACTTTTCACATACAATTTCTTTTTTGAAAAAAAGGTTCGAGACATTTCTCAGCATGACAATAATAAAAACGAAGCTGTCAGTTGTGTCATAACTGCAGTCATTAGACTTGGCCATACCATCTTACAAATTGACGTATAACCATCTTAGCTACTACTTAAAATAGATCAGCTTGCAATGATGCATCATACACCAGAGCCTATGCCTCCTCTAATGGCTAATGAATACAAATGATAGAACATGCAGTGGTGAAGAATCCACTTTGCTCACAAAATTTGCTTCATACAAAAAATCTTAGCATTCAAAACAGAAGTGAAGAACTTTGACATCAATTCTACAACAATAATTCACAACCTGCCTGTCTTAGTTGTGAGCAATGATAAATACCTCAAAGGCATTTTACATTTTTGGTTGCTGCAGTGCTTCAGAGTAGAACGGCTTTATGACAGCTGTTGCTGCCTATGAAGGATTGCTTGCATAATAATGGGAGAGTTCTGCATATGTTCTGAATATCTGATCACAGATTTAAAATTTGCAAACTATTCAAAGTGCAAACTGTATAGCGCAGCTAAAACATGAATAATGTGATCATGTAAGCACATGTTTGTATAATATTAATGTCCCAACTTGATGATTCACTGAAATACATTCTCATGTAAAAAATCATTAACAGCAAAAGACTGTAATGCCTGTATAACTTTTGTAGTTAGAATGTAGGTTTATTGCATTATTTTTGTGTCATTTCTGTTATCATGATAGTGTTTTGTGCCTCTTCTTTACATTAGTATTTCCCTCAGCTTGTGGAAAAGCTCCTTGTGAAGAACTTTGATTCATCATGTGGCTTTCTCATTTCTTATGGTGGTTGTCTGTGCACTAAAAAGGTATAAATACAGATTTTAGTTCTTCAGTTGGTATATTAATATTATATCAGTTATATTGAGAAGCGTTAAGGTGTTCGGCCAGCTTATACATGTGATTCCTTTTATTTTAAAATGTCTTGTAAGGAAAATGTTTTGAAAAGAAAGGGATATCGAACTTTTCACATTAATTTCCCCTAAGTATATTAATTTCATGCTCATTCATTCAGGGCAGGCAATGTGTCCATAAGAGCACACTCTGCTTAGAACGATAATCGGTTTCCTTAGACAACACAATTAAATGATCTTGAGAACCAATAAACTCTGAAACTGCTAAAAGAAAAACTTTTTTTGTTATTCGATTAACCTCCTAACTCAACTCCTTTTATTACTTCTGTCCTCTGTCTACAGTTTCTGCATTCTGAAGCCCACAAATAGCTCTACAGAAACACCACAGGAGAGAAAGTTCATTTAATGGCTTGAGACTATTGTCCTGGAACAAATTGAACCAGGTTGTGAGTAAAGAATGTGGGCTGACTTCCAAGTGAGGGCAAATACAAACACGTTTATGTTTTTCAGGCTGAGATTCAGAAGCAGTATTTGAATTCATGTTGAGCTGGACATTTTATCAAGGTGCTGTAATCATAAGTGTAGCTTGACATTTGAGTTGGGGGGCTGAGGCAGGGGGCAAACGATCTGGTGGTAAAAGAGTCGTGATACTTCACAAGGCAGAGCACAAAAAGAGTGATGGATAAAGTGGAATAATTTACTTACAATCCACTAAGAACAGTATGTGCTATGGTTTACAAGCAACGAAGAATATCTTTCTGTTAACACAAATACAACTAACTAATTCAATGTAGGCTACAAAACTGTTTGCTGAAATGTCCACAACATTAACAACAACACCAAAATAAGAAAGAGCCCATCCTGTGAATTATACTCCAGTTGCTTTAAATTCCTGATGCAATTGTAAGAGCTGAGATTTTTTATTATTGTTTTAAATGGAAAAGGCAGTACATAGGCCCATGCTGTGTTATTGTGTAATGTAGTACATGTCTAAATGTAGCCTACCTCCTGAAATCAAAATAAACTTTAAGTTATTGTACTTAAGAGTCCACTCATTCTGATGACTGAATTATAAAGCACTCCAACACAAAATACCTGCAGGGTTTATATAGCTTGAAACAGTGCAGTGCTTTTATTCATGGTCAGTGTATTATAAGGCCTGATTCATTCATTCAACTCATGCGCTTCACTTATCTTTTAGATTCTTGATGCATTAATGATGGCTCAGATTGATTTTCTTCTCTGATTTCCTTTCTTTGTGTTTTTGTTTTTCATTAGCCTATTTAGCTATTATATGTCGACAAGTCTGAGATTGATCTGTAATCGATGCAATTGTAAGAGCTGAGATTTTTTATTATTGTTTTAAATGGAAAAGGCAGTACATAGGCCCATGCTGTGTTATTGTGTAATGTAGTACATGTCTAAATGTAGCCTACCTCCTGAAATCAAAATAAACTTTAAATTATTGTACTTAAGAGTCCACTCATTCTGATGACTGAATTATAAAGCACTCCAACACAAAATACCTGCAGGGTTTATATAGCTTGAAACAGTGCAGTGCTTTTATTCATGGTCAGTGTATTATAAGGCCTGATTCATTCATTCAACTCATGCGCTTCACTTATCTTTTAGATTCTTGATGCATTAATGATGGCTCAGATTGATTTTCTTCTCTGATTTCCTTTCCTTTCTTTGTGTTTTTGTTTTTCATTAGCCTATTTAGCTATTATATGTCGACAAGTCTGAGATTGATCTGTAATTCAAACTGGCAATAAACATAAAATTATGGATTAAAAAACGTAAAGTTGTGATAAAACAAAATGGGGAAGTAAAGTTTAAATAGACGATGAAGAAATATTTACGAATATTTCTGGGTCGCTAATCGATTGTGTTGTTTATAACAGTGATAATGTGAACTCTTTTGCAGCTACAAAACGTCTACTAAATGCTAATAAATGCAAAGCAAATAAAAAAAAAAACTATAGGAAAGAAAAGAAAAGAAACGAATAAAGCAGAAAATATCCCCCCCAAAAAATCTTTTTTTGGTACAATTTTTAACATTTCCATACGAGTCCGTGGGACTCGGTTCTAATTTCATCGGGTCTGTCTTGGGTCGGGTCTTTATTTATGCACATCAGGTTCGGGTAAGAAGTGATTCGGGTCGGGTATGGATTTTAGGACAAGAGAAGACCTCTAGTAGTTACATATTTTTTAGATTATATATATATATATATAGGCCTATCCACCTTTTTCTTCAACGCGGAAGTAAGCCTATGGGTGAGACTTCCGGTTCATTAGCCGCTATAGGTAAATAACGAGGAGAATAACAACGTGCAGTAAACGGTAAAACTGTTTGCACTACAAACCAGTGTGTTCATAATTTCAGATAATACATTAAAATAATATGATAAGACACACCAACTTTCAATATCAAGCAGCAAAACGAACTGTTTTGTTCAGCTAAAAATAGCTGGACGGAGTGGACGCAGATGAGACCGGAAGCCAGACCCATAGAATTTACAAATGGCCGCGCCCATTTTTACGACAAGAAAAAGGTGGATACGAGTATAATAATGATTCTAACTTAACACTTAAGCCAAACACCAAAAAAAAAGAAAAAAGAACTATCCACCTTTTTCTTGTCGTAAAAATGGGCGCGGCCATTTGTAAATTCTATGGGTCTGGCTTCCGGTCTCATCTGCGTCCACTCCGTCCAGCTATTTTTAGCTGAACAAAACAGTTCGTTTTGCTGCTTGATATTGAAAGTTGGTGTGTCTTATCATATTATTTTAATGTATTATCTGAAATTATGAA